AAAACCTAAGAAAGATCTATCCAAAATAATTTGTTGGAGATGTGATAAACCGGGACATTATGCAAGCAACTGTCCCAACAAACAAACACAACATCAACAAGCCAACCTAAACGAGACACATGAGGATGATGCTCTTTATGTTCACGAGGTGGTGTTCTTGAATGAAGAAAAAGTGTTCCCAAAATTGTATGATACCAACAACAAAAGTATTTGGTATCTAGACAATGGTGCGAGCAATCACATGACGGGCAACAAGGAGTTCTTCACGAGCATTGATGAAACCATCACGGGGAGAGTCAAGTTTGGTGATGGTTCGTTTGTTAACATTGTGGGGAAAGGTTCTATAATTTTTGTAGGTAAAACGGGTGAGAGGAGATCACTCAAGGAGATTTACTACATACCCGACCTCATGCATAATATCATAAGTCTTGGACAAGCAACCGAGAATGGGTGTGAAGTAAACATGAAAGGTGATATTTTGACACTAAAAGATCCAGTTGGAAGGCTTCTTGTACAAGTCACAAGATCTGCAAACCGACTTTACAAAGCTCCAATGGAGATTGGATATTCTAAGTGTTTACTTTCACAAGATGATGACATCACGGAAACTTGGCATGCAAGATTGGGGCATGTTAGTGTTGGTGTTATGAACAATATGGTGAAGAAGGAGATGGTTGTTGGGATGCCACAAACAACACATGAGAAGAGTGTGTGCAGCGCTTGCTTGGCCGGGAAGCAAATTCGAAATTCTTTCCCGACTAAAGCAACTTACCGTGCGGCTCAAGCTTTGGAGTTAGTACACGGTGATTTGTGTGGACCAATTTCACCACCTACACCATCAAGTAATCGGTATGTGTTTGTCTTGATTGATGACTTTTCAAGGTATATGTGGACGAGGTTATTAAGGGAGAAGAGCGAGGCTTTCGATCGGTTCAAAAGTTTTAAGGAGATGGTAGAGAAGAGAACCGGACTGAAGCTTAAAACCTTTCGCACCGATAGAGGGGGTGAGTTCACCTCGACTGAGTTTAATACGTTTTGCGACGAGAACGGTATTATAAGGCATCTAACGGCACCATATACACCACAACAAAATGGTGTGGTAGAGAGGAGAAACCGCACACTTATGGAGATGACAAGAAGCTTGCTTAAGGCTATGAAGATTCCGAATGATATGTGGGGAGAAGCCGTACGTCATTCAACATATCTCATAAATCGAGTTCCAACAAAAGCTTTGCAAGGTCAGACCCCATATGAATGCTTCACATTCAAGAAACCAAACATTGAGCATTTAAGAGTGTTTGGATGTGTAGCATATGCAAAGATCACGGGACCACATCTTAAGAAGTTAGATGATAGGTCGAGAACGGTGATTAATCTCGGAACGGAACCGGGTTCGAAAGCTTATAGGCTTTACGATCCAATTACTAAGAAGGTCTTTGTGAGTAGAGACGTGGTGTTTGATGAGAAAAAGGCTTGGGATTGGTCAGCTTCTAAAACACAAACCGAAGGTGAACCGGGGAGATTTAAATTAACGTATAGAGGTGATATAGAAGATGGTGCTGGATACAATGATGATGACGTGGAAGAACAAGTTGTTGATGAGAATCACGTTCCAGATCATGAGCCTATACACCACGATGAAGACGTTGAAGAAGAGAACGTAGAAGTGGAAGCTGAAAATCAACCTATAACGACAAGATCTGGTCGTGTCATTACAAAGCCAAGGTATCTCAACGACTACGTTTTACTAGCTGATCTTGAAAGTGAAAAACTCTTACTCACGGTAGATGGAGAACCAGAGAGTCTTATGGAGGCTATGAGTCTAAGAGAATGGGTAGAAGCAATGGAAGTTGAGTTGGATTCTATCGCAAGAAACAAGACATGGGAGTTGGTTGAGAAGCCGGTTGGTGTTAAACCCATAGGAGTGAAGTGGGTTTATAAAGTCAAGAGGCATGCGGATGGTTCAGTGAATAAGTATAAAGCAAGACTTGTGGCAAAAGGCTATGTTCAACAAAAGGGTATAGATTTCGATGAAGTCTTTGCACCCGTAGCTCGAATTGAAACCATAAGGTTACTCATAGCTATTGCAGCAACAAGCGGCTGGGAGATACATCACTTGGACGTCAAGACAGCTTTCTTGAATGGAGAGTTGAATGAGCTGGTTTACGTTTCTCAACCCGAAGGTTTTGTTAAGAAAGGCAAAGAGAATCAAGTATACAAGCTCTACAAAGCATTGTATGGGCTACGACAAGCTCCGAGAGCTTGGAATGTGAAACTTGATCGTGTTCTAAAGGAGATGGGCTTTAAGAAGTGTAAGAAAGAACCATCGGTTTATCTTAAAAGAAACAAGGAGAGTTTCTTAATTGTGGCAATTTACGTTGATGACTTGTTTGTGACGGGTACTTCACGAGGAGTCATTGAACAATTCAAGAAGGATATGTCAAAGCAATTTGAGATGTCAGATCTTGGAAAGCTAACTTACTATCTTGGTATAGAAGTAATTCAAGGGGCTGATGGAATTCAAATAAAACAAGAAGGTTATGCTCGAGGAATACTTGAAGATACGAAGATGGAGGAGAGTAACTTGGCTCTTGTGCCAATGGAGCCTAGTACCGTGATCTCAAAGGGTGAGAACGAAGCTGAGATTGATGCCACACGATACCAAAGAACCATAGGCTGCTTAAGGTACCTCATTCATACAAGACCAGACATGGCGTTTGTTGTAGGTGTTCTAAGTCGATACATGCAAAGTCCAAGAGCATCACATGGGCAAGCGCTTAAGCATGTTCTGAGGTATGTGAGAGGAACCACTAACTTTGGGCTAATCTTTAAGAGAGATGGGTCAAGGAAGGTTGTTGGTTATAGTGATAGTAGCCACAAAGCTGACATTGATGACGGTAGAAGCACGGGTGGACATATGTTTTATTTCGGCTCGTCGCTTATAACATGGACATCTCACAAGCTCTCGTCTGTCGCATTATCATCGTGTGAAGCGGAATTCATGGCGGCAACGGAAGCAGCGAAGCAAGCTATATGGCTTAAAGAGTTGTTAAGTGAAGTCTTGAGTTTAGATGAGAAGATCTTGCTGAGGATTGACAACAAGTCAGCCATTGCACTCACTAAGAATCCGGTATTTCATGGAAGGAGTAAGCATATACTCTTGAGATATCATTTTATTCGTGAGTGTGTTGAGAATGAGCAAGTGGATGTAGAACATGTACCCGGTGAGGAGCAGAAGGCAGATATCCTTACTAAACCGTTAGCAAGAGTGAAGTTCAAGGAAATGAGAGAACTAATCGGAGTTCAAGCGATCAAGTCCCCCGGAGTTCAAGTTGGAATTAAGGGGGTGAATGTTGGATAATTCCAGTAACTTGAGGAACAAGTTAAGGAGATCACAAACAAGATTTAGATAAGGGGTAGCTTATTTAGATAAGGCTTTGTGTGTTGTTATCCTAATCCAAATAGAACAAGGAGTTGTCTTGTTTCTATATAAATACAAGGGCCTATGAAGAGATGTTTCATAGAGCTTGAGAAAGAGATTTAGTTTTTGAGAAGTTTTCTAAATCTAATAATAAGAAAGGTGTTCTTATATTCAAGTTCTTTTCACTTTGAATACAATCATCCCGTAATGATGCAGTTTATCTGCTAAAGAACATTATTGTATTGATTTTGCTTTTCCTGCTAACAACTTTTAAACCCAAAGTAGCTATTAGCTAGGTGTGGAAATTTTGAACTGAGGCAAGCCACATCTTGGCCGATAGTCAATCCCCATCAATACGTATTGTTAGGTTGTACGATATGGTTTTATTACCTATGTTATTGTCTCATCACATCTTGTCTAATAGTATTAAAGATATGTCATATCCCAAGGTTCTTATTAAGAGGTGATTTAAACTGCAGGTTTCTTTGATTTTTTGTTTTTTATATAAATCAGAAAGCATATACAAAAAAAGAGAAGAAAAGAAAATACAAGATTAGTATACGCAAACATTAAATCATAAAAGATATTTTAGTAACAACTGTGAGGCGATAGACCCATGGTTGATGACTGATGAGCCAATCAGCGAAAAAACATAACTAATAAAACTGGTTATACAAGATTAGACAAAAACACAGATCAGGTTGTTTAGAACGATAGGTTAAATACTTAATGTGAAAACAATAAGAAACATCTTAGGGGTTGGGATCAATATATAGTGTGAATTTAAGTTAAAACTCCCACGATCTTGTAACAACTAATTTGTCATTACATGGTTTTAATCTTTTAAAAGTTTCCACGTAAATTTGAATCTAAGAGATTAGTCAAATTGTTTGAAATGTTACGTTCTCCATTCGACACATTTCCTCACGAAAACAATATTAAAATGTAGTAACAAATACACACTTATAAAGAGGAAAAAGAATCCCCCATGTGCATATGTGTGTTATACAGATAACCATTTATTGCTTTGCCAATAAATTTCAGACCCTTTTGCTTAACTGTCCATCTGTATAAAATCTATATAATAAAATATTTAAAGTATCATAGTATGGTCTCCTAAGCAAAACCATCCGCATACGGCATACTTGGTACGTATCGTTCAAATGAAGGCTTGCAAATTAATTCACCTAAGCTTTTGTTTTCTGTTATTTCGTTAGTTCAAATCAATGATATAGTAGCTAGCTGATTTATGGTACGTGTGACTGACACACTATAGTTTTATTCTGTATGCTCCGACAATATCATATGTTGTGTCATCAATTCCAACCACGTATCTTTTGTTAGCTCAACTCCATAGTTGTCACAGCAATTATATTGCATGCTTTCACAAAAATTATTCAAAAGCCTCATATCCATGTTAGTGGGCTTCATAGTGCATCTTAACAAAACATATATTAGAAAATGTTTAGTAGGCTTTCTAATAACTCCGGCCCAACGTTATTATTGAGTATCGGTAACCAAACGCTGTGTTTTGCGTTTACTGTAGACAAACGCGAAAAAAAGAAGCAAGATTGGTCCTTTTTTTTGCTTCTCTGGAAACGTCTCTGAACAAGACCTTGACCTCTGTTTTATAGATTTCGATCCTAGCGACGATAAGAAGGCGGTGGATTCAAATACAAATAGCCCAATAGAATTCAAAGACGGGAGCTTTGAAGCAATTGTTTCGTTTAATTCAATTCTTTATAACGACAATTACTCTCAGATTGTTTGAATGAGAAACCCTCCTCCGTCTTTGCTGTCCCTCACCGTCAACGCCGCCGTGTTAAACCTCTCCCGCATCAACGATATCTCCCATCTGCCTGATCACATCATCCTTGACCTCTTCGCGGTAAATACTTTGATTTCGATCCTTCTTTTTCTATTACTTGGTTTGGTTCTGGTTCTGGGGTTTTCGATTTTAGTGTTAAGTTGGAATTTGTAGGTTATATCTTCCTTTGATTCTGAGAATTTCTTAGTGAAAGTGTAGAGCTTTAGAGCTTAGGGTTCCAAAATTGTAGTATACTGTATGCTTTTTGAGGGATTGTTTTTTTTTTTTTTTGTGTGTTATTGATGATATCTCTTATCTGTTCTTAAATCACTGGTTGGTTTAGGGGATTGATTTGATTGTTTTTTTCTTTGCTTCATTACTATGGTTGATACTGTTTTTTAATTTGATTCTCTTGCTGTGTTTGTGATGTAAAGAGGACACTGAAAGCTGGGAAATTGAATGAGAGAGTTCTGAGACTCTTTATGGCATCTGGAAACGAAGAGGTTCTTTCTATTATCGACGCCCTCAAAATCAAAATCAGTGTTTCCCCGATCCTTCCTACTCGTAAGTTTTAGTGTTTCTCTTTTCCCCTTTTCATATTTACATGTGCTCTTGAAGCATTGTTATCTAACTTTCCACATTCTGCAGGATGTCATGAAAAGTTTAGATTGAACGGGACGAGGCGTTAGGTGAAAGGTGAATGATTATCGCGCGATGAGCGAGTTTGGAAACTTGGTCTGATGTGTTAAAAGGTTAGTTCCTGATTGCAGTTTTCGGATAATATAGGCAGACACAAACAATCTGGACAACTGCAGAGATACTTTGTCAGATTGAGGTCTTTTTTATTCTTCTCTTTGTGTGTAAATATATTAAACGAAAGGGGTCAAATTATAATATAAGCTTCTTTGTTTTTCCCTATGAAATTTTATGCAATCATGTAAGCTTTTTGTTTGCTGCAGAGCTCTGTTATAGGCTTCTAATTTTTATAGTTTGGTTATCTGTTGTCCAAGTCAATATCTCCTGTTCTTACTCATAGAAAGATTGGCATAAGTTAGCTAGGATTAGGTGTTTTTGATGTTTTGTCCGATTAGTTTGGGATGCAGTAAGCAATGAACATGTTTTGTCAAAATAAATAAAACAATTTCCAAATTTTATTCATATTTTGAAGTGCTATTACAAACTCATGAGTCATTATGACAGTACAATTTCTATTAGGACATTTTTCTAGACCTAGACAAGTATTTTCGTCGAGAGAGCTTCATCAACGTTTAGACCCTGAAATACAAATAAACAATCTCATTAATAAAACGTTGGATACGAACTTCTATATGGTTAAAAAATATATACAAGTGAGTGATAAAGATTAGGAGAAATAATTACGGAATATAATCAATGTTAATAATCCCAGCGACAGGATTAGCGATCTGAGCAAAAGCTTCTCGTGAAAGATCGATGGTGGAAGCACAGCCACTGGGACAATGGTCGACGATTGTGACCGTCACGGATTTTCCGGTGCAAGGGTGAGGCACGGGGTTGCGAGGTCCTGTGCATTTCACTCTGAACTTTTTACCACAAACTCGACCATTGTCCCATAATGTATCACTCGCTGCAGCTATCATCACTCCCTCTTGCTTACCTCCGTAACATGCCGATGCTATCAAACATAAAGTAAAAGACTAGTGATCAAAAATATTTCGCTACAGTTAGATATCAAAATGTATAGATAAATTTGCTGTTAAATCATATGTATTAGATTTATAAATTTTGGGTAGTCAAAGAAAAAATAGAATGGAAAATAGTATTCTTACGAGTGTAACTCGTATAGAATGTTCCAATTCCAGGAGTTGCATATGCTATAGAGAAGAGAAAAAGAAGAACCGTTGTAAAAACAACAATATTTTTACTCATGATGGTACGTGTTTATTTTTTTTTTCTTTTTTTTTTCTTTAAAGGGAAGAAGACAAACTTAATAACAAGAGTGTTTATATCTGAAATACAACATATCTATTCATATATATATGATATGTATCATTTGACTAACTCTAAATATGGCATGTAATTTAATTGCTTGCCATTGTAATTTCTTTGACTGTTCCCCATTTTTGAACATGGTTTGGAAACATAATTCAAAAATTTTAATTGTAAAATTTAATCTCTACTTATCTATGTTGACTAAAGATTTGGAAACATAATTATAAATTTTAATTGTAAAATTTAATCTCTACTTATCTATGTTGACTGAAGGTATGGAAACATAATTATTATCCGCATGTGATGACAAATTTATAGTCAAGGACTCAAGACACCAGAAAACTGAGCATGGACGTGTTAATAGACAGACGGACAGTCGTCGATAAAAATTGCAAGTTGCAACCTATAAGCCGGTCAGAAGGCGAAGGCAAGAGTTAAACCAAATTAAGCCGAAGATAACCGGATCAAAATCGCAAAGTGAACCGGAAAGAATGAGATAATATAAAAAAAATGTTGCAAAAGAATTGGATGAATCTGAAATCAGAAAGAAAAGGGTATGGTGGTGAGTGACATAAGGAGGAATGGAGTTACCGAGGAAGCTGCCCTTTGTCGGGTTGTCCCTATCACCTCCCCACTCGGCATTACCAGATAGGAAGCTCAGATTTAATTATTGGATCCCCAAAACCAAAACTGAACCCTCTCCTTTTTTTTAATAATCGGAAAATATGATCTTCACCAATACTTTTATCCCTTCAATGTATTACTAGTCTGTCTGGTTTCGCCCTTTGTTTTCTTTCTCCTCTGGTTTTCTTAAACCATGTATTATATTAGTAGTCTATGATTAAATTTAGTAAGAAATATTTTATTTGCATCCATATTGTTTTCAAGAACGTGTCTACGTTTGTGTTTATATTAGCGCTGATTACTCGCAGAAGTGAACAGAACTCTTTAGCATGAGTTTTTCGTTTAGCCCACCATAAACTAAGCATTTGAGCCAACGGAGAGATTTGTATTATTTTACATTACTAGTACTTAAACAATATGACCATATTATACTATAATGTGGATGTGACGATCAAAACAAGATTAACAATAACTGAAATTCCAATTTTTATTATTAAAATATGAAAAATAAGGTGTATAAAAGAGACTTTGCATCACGATAGTCACGAGTTAATGAAGGAGATTAAGGACAAAACCTAGTTTTTTAAAAGGTTATCGTCGAACTCATATATTATAGAAAAATTGTCCGAATATTCGAGCATATAAATATAAATTCCACATAACCTCCTCTTCTATTCTATCAGACCAAAACCCTTTCTTTGAATCCCATAAATCAAAATTCTCGATCTTCAAATTCCATAAAAATCTCTCCTTTAGTTGTTCCCTTAAACAGATCAAGAGTTTGATTCGTGAAAGAGAAGATTTTTAATCTCCGCCTCAATCGAGTCCGATGTCGATACGTATTATTCCATACGATGGCTCAATCTCCGGCGAGCCATCTCCGTCTCCGGCGCCACCGAAGGCGAACACGAAGAATCTACCAACGAAGATTCTCTCCAACTTCCTTGTAGGTCTAATCATGATCCCTCTAGCTGTAACCGCTTTCCTCTTTATCATCACGTCTCTTGGCTTCACCTTCTTCTTCGCTTTCTACTGGTTTCTTCACCGGAACTACCGCCACCGTCTCCGTCGCCATCGCCGTCACGAATACTCAGACGGGTTGTCTCCGAGATGCGTGAAGAGGCTTCCCCAGTTCAAGTTTTGTGAGCCTGCAGAGTACGGAAGCGACGATTGTGTAGTTTGTATCGATGGATTCAGACAAGGACAGTGGTGCCGTAAGCTGCCTCGTTGCGGACATGTGTTTCACCGCAAGTGTGTGGATTTGTGGTTGATGAAGGTCCCTACTTGTCCGATTTGTAGGGATAGAGTTTACAGATTTGATGAAGGAAGAAGATGGAGACCAGAAGATGAAATTGTTTTCAGTCAGTGAAGAAGTTAGTTTTCTTAGTAGATTTGTAAGTGTGTTTAGTTTGTTTTTGGTACCTTCATGATCTTGTTAGCAGCAATTTTGGGGTTTCCATCAATAATCATGTACAGTGGCTTTTTTTTGTTTACACAGCTTCACAATTGAAGCTTTGTTTCTTCAATGTTTGGATTAGATCCAGAAAACGAATAATGAGTTTCTGTAGAGTTCAGCATAGTTTGAAGTCTGAATCATGCCAATTGCTTTTACACTCTGTTTTTAACTTTTTACAGAGTTTGAATTTCTACTTTTGGCAAAGTTTAGATCTTTTCTGATTAGATTGAGTCTGTTGAATAACATGAAACACAGTTGAAATACAAATATTATTGTTGTCAATTTTGTCACTAACATGTTGCTTATGGTACCTAAACCTTAATGATATTCTCATAATTCAGTTGTGGTTAATCATAAATGTTTCTGCTTCAGTTTTGTTTTCTGATTGGAATGTGAAACTGTGTGTGATTCAGTCAGCTAAGTGATTGTGATTGGATCTGACTCTACCTTTAAAAAAGTGTTTTGTGTAACGTAACAATGTAGGATTGTCTAATTTAGTTAAATATTGTAAAACTTGTACTAATGACTTTGATTAACTAAAATTATGACACAAATAGTCAAATGTGTTTGACTTCTTGTCTTATCTCCGATGGCTCAAACTCAAATATTCCCAAAAGAAACAAATATCCTTCCGATTTGCTTTTTCTTAAAGGTGAAATAATAAGGCAAATAAGATACGCTCTCTGACTCACCCGTGACTCAGTATAATTCCCCCTCGTTCAACCCTCTCCGGAGGAGTTAAACAAAACCACCATCTTTCTCAGATTTACAGAGAGAGAGTGAGAGTGTCAAAGAAATGGTTTTTATAATCTTCAGCTCCTAATTTTGATTTGTCTAGATCAAAAAAGAGTTTACAGGAGCTCGAGCTTGAGCTTCTTCTAATGGAGTTAAGAAAGGACAAGCTTCTTATGTAAGTTTCTTTTTTCTTCCTTTCTCTCATCTTCAGTTTCTAATTTTTCCGTTAGATTTACGTTCCTTGTCCTATTAGGCTATTAGCTCTCCTTAAAGTCGTGAAATTTGATTGCCCAGAAATAAAAATCAAGACTTTACTTTAGATTTGTCTCTTTGTTGAGTAATACAAGTTGAGTTCAGTTAGATCAAAGCTCAAGTTCTGATTTTGGGTACTGGGTTATTACTTAATCTCTATTTAGGGTTCAGATTGCAGATTCGAGTTGTGTATTGCTTAGTTTTTGCTTCTTCTTTTTTTTTGGCTTTGCAGGTTTTATTCAGAGGGGAAAGAAAGCAAAGAAGCTATGTGGTCAGTGAATGATCCAATGAGCAAATCTTACAAGCTCTCTTTGCCATCTGCACTAAGGCCTGATAATCTCTTACCTGGAAATAGACTTAGATACACTGATGCTTCTAAAGTTAGCAGCAACAAGTTCAAATCTTCCAAAGTCTCATGGTACAAGACGATTCTTGATCCAGGAAGTGAGATTGTCTTGAAATGGAATTGGGTGTTTATTGTCTCGTGTATGGTTGCTCTCTTCATCGATCCGTTATATTTCTTCGTGCCAGCCATTGGAGGAGATAAAAATTATCCCTGTGCAAGGACTGATACGAGTCTAAGCATCCTTGTTACCTTCTGCAGGACAATTGCGGATCTTTTCTACTTGCTGCACATTTTTATTAAGTTTAGGACCGGTTTCATTGCGCCCAATTCAAGTACTAGAGTGTTTGGTAGAGGTGAGCTTGTGATGGATCCCAAGGCAATTGCTTGGAGGTATCTCAAGTCTGACTTCATCATTGATCTCATCGCGACTTTACCACTTCCTCAGATAGTTATCTGGTTTGTTATATCAACCACGAAAAGTTACCGGTTTGATCATAACAACAATGCCATTGCTTTGATTGTGCTCCTCCAATACATCCCTAGATTCTATCTTATAATTCCGTTAAGTTCTCAAATCGTGAAAGCGACTGGAGTGGTGACAAAGACTGCTTGGGCTGGAGCTGCTTATAATCTTTTGCTATACATGCTAGCTAGTCATGTATGAAGTCCTCTCCATTATCTCTCAATATTTCATTTGAGATACTATGACTACAATTGACAAAATAACAAGGCTGTTTTTGTTTGAGCAGGTGCTAGGTGCAGCATGGTATATATTATCAGTTGATAGATATACATCATGCTGGAAATCAAGATGCAACATGGAAAATGGCCTAGGCAGCTGTCAGCTGTATTACTTGGACTGTGATTCAATGTATGACGACCAACAGATGAATTGGGCAAATGTCACAAAAGTATTTAAACTCTGTGATGCACGTAATGGCGAGTTCGAGTATGGGATATTCGGGAACGCAATCACAAAAAAAGTTGTGTCTTCAAACTTTTTTGAGAGATATTTCTACTGTTTGTGGTGGGGATTGCAACAGCTAAGGTAATTACAGAGATTATCACAGTTTAGCCTCTAATATCAATTATGAATTATTACTCACCTTTTTTTATCACAAGTTCTAAAATCTGATGGCCTTTTCCCGTATCATTTCCTAGTTCTTATGGACAGAATTTGTCCACGACCATGTTCATGGGCGAAACCACATTTGCTGTTCTCATTGCAATCTTTGGTCTTGTCCTCTTTGCCCATCTCATTGGGAATATGCAGGTATGATTTCTGCATTAGGATAAGTTTTATAGAAGCCTCTGCTTTAGTTCTTATGTTTCTTGGGTTTTTGTCTTTTGTCTATTAGACATATCTGCAATCTTTGACCGTACGGCTTGAGGAATGGAGGTTGAAGAAGAGAGACACAGAGGAATGGATGAGACATCGTCAACTTCCTGAAGAATTGAGAAAACGTGTTAGGGGATATGAGCAGTATAAGTGGCTTGCAACAAGGGGAGTTGATGAAGAGGTTCTCCTGCAAAGTTTACCCACTGATCTTCGCCGTGATATTCAACGCCACCTATGTTTAGATCTTGTTCGAAGAGTAAGTATTTCCATTAATTTGTTCATGCAACAAATGGTTCAACTTTTTATAGAATTATCCAAAAGAGACATGTTTGGCTAACAACAATCTTTATTGTTTCTAGAACAAGTTGAATATCAAAAATCCGTTTGTATTAGGATTTTAGTAGGTGTTCAATCTGGAGTTTGATTCAGTTTTAATTTGGGATTTGTGATTCTCCAGTTGTAGTGCTTGCTGTGATAATCTCTCTCAGTAATGCTTATCTCTGAATCATGCAGGTCCCATTTTTCTCTCAAATGGATGATCAGTTGCTTGATGCGATATGTGAGCGCCTGGTTTCTTCTCTATGTACCGAAGGGACTTACCTTGTGCGTGAAGGGGACATGATTTCAGAGATGCTCTTCATCATCAGAGGTAGACTCGAGAGTTCCACGACCAATGGAGGCAGAACGGGTTTCTTCAACTCGATAATACTAAGACCTGGAGATTTCTGTGGGGAAGAGCTTCTTTCTTGGGCTTTGCTTCCAAAATCAACCTTGAATTTACCGTCTTCGACAAGAACAGTTAGGACTTTAGTTGAAGTCGAAGCATTCGCTCTTCGAGCCGAAGATTTGAAGTTTGTTGCAAATCAGTTTAGACGGTTACACAGCAAGAAGCTTCAACATACTTTCAGATTCTACTCTCACCATTGGAGGACTTGGGCTGCTTGCTTCATACAAGCCGCTTGGCGCAGGTACAAGAGAAGAGTTATGGAAAATAATCTCACTGTGATTGAATCAATGGAAAACGAAGAAGGAGAAGAAGTAGATGAAGAAGAAAAAGAAGAAGAAGAGTTTGTTGAGCAGAGTCCTAGAACAAAGATGAACATTGGAGTTATGGTTTTGGCTTCCCGTTTTGCAGCTAATACAAGACGTGGTGTTGCAGCTCAGAGAGTTAAGGATGTCGAATTGCCTCGGTTTAAGAAACCCGAAGAGCCTGATTTCTCGGCTGAGCCAGATGATTGACTGATTCATAACCAAAAGAAGCTGACTTTTTTCACTGGAGATTTGAATGACAAGAACATTACAGACTAAGTTCCCTGGTCATTTGGAAGATATAAAAACAAAAAAACTTAAGACGGGTTTTGGTTTTGTACACTTCAAACATCTTCTGTAATATATAAGCTTGGAAGATTAATTTGTTGTATGATTATAAAACTCGTTATAGAATTCTCTGAATGTAAAGATGAGGAAGTCGAAGTTAGATTATGTACAAACCAAAGTCAAAAGACTCGAAACTTATGCTACCAGCCTACCACACCATAAAATTAAAGCAGCTCCCTACAATTTCATGGATCCAACCAGGAAAAAAGGATGTGTAAGCCCACTCGTGTAAGGCCAATATATGTCGTGGTTACTTACTTAGCGCTGAGAAATACAAATTTGAAAGGAAAAGGAAATGTTACTGTCTTGAGTATGTTTTGCATATTAATATTGACACGAAACTCTTTTTTATAAAAAACAATAAAGGAAGATAGACTAATAGACATAAGATGATACAAATGATGAGTTTGGTCCATGGGAAAAAGTTAGAATGTTTACTTGCTTTCTCTATTGACCGGGATGTCGGATCAAATCATAATATATATATATAACAGGATCACATACATATTGGTGTGTTCTTGTCCGAATGGCCACAGGGTTGGCTTAATGTAATCATGGATTCTGAGCAGTAGATTTAAAAAGTCTTGATATTAATTAATACTCATACTGAAAAAATTCTCTAGAAATTTCGAGTACCATGAAAACATTGGTTTTCAATATTAACATTTAGTATTTCAAATCTCTTATTAATATTTGAATAATCTTTTACAAACATCGAGATTATGCACATTTCAATTGAATAAGTTGATTATTTCGACATCTCGATGCAGTTGTTAAAAGTAATCTATACACTACAAAAACAGACATGCATGCATATATGGTAAGAGATGCCAAGGTAGTTGTACCTTATAGTGTGTAGTTGCTCATTACATAAGTTAAGTTCATGACCCCTTTACAAAAAGCTAAAATTCAACATTAGGTTTCAATCATGTAAGGTTGAGATCTGCGACCCCTTTTAGTTATAATTTAATCCATACTTATTCTATTCGTAAATCATTATCTTCACAAACTTTTCATGGCTATAATTAAAACAATTAAAGAGAAAAGACTAGAAAAATATACTTATTAAATAAGAAAAACATGTCTTTGAGTAAAGTTGCAGCATT